GGTTGCCTTGCATCCCCCCTGGAATTCCTTCATGCCCCCACCAGGAAGCACACCCCCCCAATTTGGGAACCCATGGTCTAAAGGGACTGTGTGGCTCTATGGTAAGACTGGTATTGTGATCCAGGAGTATGCTTTTGTTACTGACTTGGTGAAATCTAATTATAGTATAGATCACCATTTTGGGGCATCTGTCCTATTTTCTCACCTGAGATTGGCCACGCACAGTAGTGAGCCACTCCAGACAGCATGGCACTATGATCTCCCTTTTAGAAGAAGAAGAACACTAGTTCTAGCAGCTAAGGCAGGGTCATTCCTTGAAATGGAATGTAAAAGGCATTCCCATGGTTATCCCATACATGCATCAATTGGCTTAGGCAGCTCCAAACCTGGCTCTGACACTTATTGTTGGCCACCAGAATAGTGAAAAACTTCATTGCTAGTTTTTCAATTAAAGGATAATCCTGCATTCTGAAAAATTATATAACCCAACATGTTTGCAAACAGCAGCTCACTTTCAAGATGGTGTAGAGAAGGGCAGGTCTAAATAACAAGAAGTTACTCCAAGTCTCCAGGTTTTGTGCATGCAATCAGAAGGTTTTTAAAAAAGAGGGATCACCATACCTAAGTAGGGAATAAAAACCAAAGTCCCCAATTTCCTGCTTATATATAGTGGTCATGGTCCCATTCCTGGATGTCCCAAGACAAGCAACAAAACTGGCCATAGGATATATATCCCTATATTACATATGCAATTTTCAATGTTATCATTTTAAATGCATCTAAATTTCAATATAGTGGTCTGCTTCACTACAGAAGTGGCAACACAATATAAAGATTCATCCAACACCGGATGTGTTACACATGCAGGCTCACTTATTGCAGCTTAGCTCAAATTACATGAAGGATTATCATCAATAACTACTAGTGTATGATGGCCAAACTGTACAGTCTCTAAGAGAAAGGATTAATGGACACAAGTCAGATATTCAAAAAGGTACCACAGAAACCTGTTGGGGAACATTTTAACTTGCCCAGATACTCATTAATGGATCTCAAAGTTACTATATTATTGCAAGCCAATTTCAAAAATCAGCTTGAAAGGGATATTACAGAATTTAATTTCATTTACAAGTTTGATACCTAAACAAAGACCTTGCGTGGATGGCCCACTACATTCCACATCTAACGAGATAAAAAAACCAAGCACGGGGTACTTAAGAGCCCTTAGTACCCACTATCAGCTTCATTTAGCATGGACACTGACAGTTCCCCCCCCTTTTTCCTTCTTTCCCCCCCATTTCTTCTCCTTCTGCTATTTATTTGGAAACTGGACCTCTTAACTCCATTCATCTGAATGAGCTGTGCACAGGAAAGCTCATGATACCATCTATATTTTTTGTTAGTCTCTAATGTGCTGCAAGACAAGTAGTTTTTTGGTTTTTTTGTTTTTTTAAGTTTTTTCAGTCACAGACTCACATGGCTACCCCTCTGAAACTAGTGGCATCACAGTAAGTTATGTTTAAAACCCTTACATTGATCTCCCATATTAAAAATTCTCAGTTCACACGGTGGAATGAAATTTTTCCCTAATACCCGTGTGGATATTTTTCCAGATCAATGTGTTATCAATAAAAGATGCAAAAAAGAGATCTCCCCCTACTGCAGAGCATTGCATCTCAGGTCCACCATTTGCAATGGCCTTTCCTCCTAGAACCAAGCAAGCCTAAGGCAAGGCAAGTTAGTTGCCAAGGTCACCCTGATACATACCATCCGAGCCGGGGCAGAGTTCTGCCGTTGCCCAAAAACATCTTTTCCATCCTCAAAGGAACGGACACGCAGACAACTACGAGAAGCGGGCCTGGTTGGCTTCTTAAACTCAAAAGACTCCTTAAGGAAATGGAGCAAGAGAAGCATGTTATCAAACAAAGCCTAGAGGTGGAAGGCCCATTGATTAGAGATATTTTACAGTCTGTCCTTCTTAGACTCAGCTCCCTGCAATCCAATGATATAAGTAAATCTTTCAGAATATGCACATTTCTAAAAGAAAGTTGTTAAAATAGTGATTGATATAGGAGAATCACACTTCCTCCAAGTTATACTCTACAGTCACGCATCTATCCACTTGCCCTGTCTAATCCTTTCAAAATGCAACCAGATCTGTACCTAAATTACTAGGGGTATGTCTACACTTGCACCCTCTTTTGAGAGAGGGATGCAAATGAAGACATTCAAAATTGCAAATGAAGCTGGGATTTACATATCCTGCACTTCATTTGCATAATCGCGTTATGGTGCTATTTTGAAATAGCGCCATAACATGATTATTCAAATGAAGCATGGGATATTTAAATCCCAGCTTCATTTGCAATTTTGAATGTCTTCATTTGCATCCCTCTCTCAAAAGAGAGGCAAGCATAGACATACACTAGAATGAGCTTGCTATTGTGGGACAAGCTGCACTCTTCTCCCATTACTCCTGAGAAGGGCAGATGCTTCTACAGAAATCTGAGCCCTCATAAGATTTCTTCATTGACCCAATTCACAGCCATTTGGACTATAATGGAGTTGGACTCAAGAGCCCCTGACAAGTTCCTTAAAGATTTAATGTACTCTATTTAATGAAATCACACATGTTTACAATTTGATGATTGTTACCTTACAGGGCAATTGTCTGGAGAGCCAGTAATCACCTCTACAGTTCCTACTGCCTCTGCCTATTCTCCTGTACACCTGATCACCCTTTTTCTTTTCATTAGAATATTGGTCTCCCCTCTCACTTCTGGTTGCCTGGCTCACTCATTCACAATGCTGCTGCAAAATGATTCTCCAATTTACAGATCTGATGAGGTCTCCCTCTCTCAATCCCTCTCGTGGCTCTCTATCATTAATTGTAAGCTATGTGTCTCCACCATCAAGGCCCTTCCCAACCTAGTCTTCACCCTTTCATCTGTTATTTGGTATTAACAGATAGACTCCTGCCTCCAGTCAGCCCAAAATGCCCACTTGCTACATTTCCAAACAGGCATCTTTGTGCTTTCTCTTGCTAAGCTTCATGCTTATGCCCTTCCCTCCACTCTTGAACATCTAAGCCACTGCAGTGTTTTGCTTCAACTCCCTTAAGAATTCTTTGCCACAATACTTAAAAACATGTTAAGGCTAGACCAGTCCTTTTCAGGCTGACTGATACTATCTAGTTGTCTTATGTACTCCCATGTCTGTCTGTTCCGGTAAGTTTTTTTTGCCTTAGACTAAGTGATTTGTCTTTTTTTGATTATTATAAACACAGTACTTAGCACAATGGAGCTCCTAAGCTAGGGATAGGCAATAATTTTTGTTGAGACACCACTCCAAGATTTTTCTATGGAGAGATACAGGGTCTGAGATGGAGGCTGGGTGCAGAAGGGAGCTCAGGGTAGGGAACTGGGGTGGAGGAGGGGGGTAGTGACCCATGGCAGGGGATTGGAGAGCAGGATCCAGGAAAGGGTATCGGTGTGGGAGAGAAATTCTGGCTGGGATGGTGGGGAAGGCTGTAGGGAGGTGTGCAGAGTCTGGGAGGGAGTTGAGATCTGGGGCAGGTGGGAGGAATGCAGAGGATTTGGGTGGTGACCTGGGGCAGAGAGCTCGGGGGCAGGAAAGGGTGGAGTGTCAGAGGTTGGGGTCCTCTCCCTGGCTGGGAGGGGCTTATCTAGATGGCTCCTAGCCAGCAGCCCAACTCCCTGCCAGCAGCTCCAGGCTGTTTAAAGCAGCTGGTTGTTCCATGTGTCTCTGTGCTGGGAGGGGAGGGGAGGGGAGGGGAGGGTTTTGCATACTACCCCTGCCCCTAGCATAATCTCTCAGGTCCCATTGGCCTGCTTTCGGACAATAGGAGCGGAGAGATTGCGCCACGTGCTGCTTCCAGCACAGCCAGCCGCTCTGAGCAGCGTGGAGTTAATCTGTGCCCAAGGGTCTCAGCAGGGCATGCCAAATCTGGCCTGTACCATGCCCAACCCTGTCTTAGGCATTATGGTAATACAAAAAGCGGGAAGTCAGCTTTTGCACCATATTAGTGCAAATTTTGCAAGACAAACCATGGAGAAGTTTAAGAATACCACAGTTTACTCAAGCAAGACAGACAGACTTTACCCACCAGATCAACCACTCATTACAAACCTCCTCCCCAAATAAGGAGTTATCCCTGTGCATCAAGCCCCATACTATCACAACTGACAGCTTCCTGGATATAGCCTCCCATATTATACAGTAATTACTCATTTAACACGTACACACTTAACATGTTTTCGCAATAGCACAATTTTATTTTTAGGGAACGTTTTTCGAACACCACAACTGTCCCCAAAAACAACACGAAAATAATCAGGTGGCGGACTACTTTGCACAGCGGTATAAGTTGGCGAAAACAGTGGTAATACACAGGAGCGGATGAATACATGTGGTCACGCTTCTCTGCTCACTCACGTTTATCTTTGTGTTTTAACAAACCGCAGCGACTTGTGTTACTAGTTATCTTGTGCTGCTAGATATCTAATGCTGACATCGACGACCCAGCACCAACAAAATATTGACTTTGCCACCACCACCTGAAACGTAACCCCTACCTTTTCCATTATTTTTAATGAGAAAATTGACTCCGCATAGCACGTTTTCACTTAGCACGAACATTTTCAGAAACGCACCTATAGCGTTAAATGAGGAATTACTGTACTACTTCAGAGAAGCATAGAGTGAGCTAAACTTACATTCTCTTTGTTGTCATCTGGTTCAATGAGGTGAAAAACATCACAATCCAATGAATCGGAGTTGCTCCTCTTCAGAGCAGGACTAGACCCCAGCAGCTTCTGCTGCAAAATTAAAAGGACAAATCCTGTTCAGTCTCAATCAGATCCCCAGATTTTGGGCAACTGAGAGACCATGCTGTCAGCTTGCCAAGAACGTAAAGACTGCAGTACCCAAATTTGCGCAAAATGGCACAAACTATGTTAAAAACAAGGGCTGGACAGAGACATGCAGCCCATGGAGACAACCGGCCTCAGGATGCAACACTGCCACATAAAGCTAATGACAGGCTCTCTTGTAGAACATAACAGATTACACTTTGGTCTCAATCCAGATTATAACCTATGGTTTTCTATTATCTTAATTTTAAGCAACAAGCAACACCACATTCTTGAGACTGGAAGATTAATGAGCTTTGCTGGTTATCTTCTAATAAAAGTCGGCACAGATAAGTAGTGTAACATTTAATATTGAAAACCTCTCTCTTGTGAAAGTCGAAAATCCCCCTCACTTACCGGGAGAGAACGTATTCTTCTGATGGGCAGCTGAACACTGTAATGAGAAAAGAGACAAAAATAGAATCAAGTTTCACATTAACATTTAAGCTGAAAAGCTACTAATAGTAACTGGCAACACAATTCAGTTTTTCCACTGCAAAACTGAATTAACTAGTGGTACAATTTAATAGATCACTAATTAAGAGGAGAAGTTAAAATTAAAAGCATACTCACTTTGTAAGTCTGCTAGATTCTATAACTGTTTTCTCAAAGCTGAAAAAAGTCAGACAAAGGACATTACTTAGCTTTACTGCCAATTCATAATCCAATACTTTGAACTACTTAGTGTTGTTTAAACTTAAAGCCAGTTGTTGCTTCTGTTTATCCCACGTTACAAGCTTGTGTACCCGAGGCTACATCTGCACCAGCAGCTCTCAACCAGAGGTTCAGAGCCTTCTTGGGGACCACAAGTCGATTTCTGGGGCTTTGCCAAGCAGGGCCAGAGTTAAGACTCGCTGAGGTAGAAAGCCAAAGTCCCAACATGGCCCTGAGCCCCACCACTGAGGATAAGTCAAAACCTGAGCAATTTAGCTTTATGGGGCCACAGGCAATTTCCCACTTTGCTATCTCCTAACACTTTCATGTGCAGAAACCATTTGTGGAGGCACAGGGGGGCTGTGGTATTTTTGTAGCACGCAGAACGGGACTCAGAAAGATCAAGAACTTCAATATACACTACAGCTTATACTAGCATAATTTGTGTGCGAATAAAGCACCCCACTGTGCAACCCAAGGATATAAAAATTGTGGATTCAGATCTGATCCACATCTGCTGGAAACAACGTGCATCCGATCCACAATCTACTCCCTGCCCTTTACATATAACCGCATCGGTGCCTCTGCAGCAGCAAGTGATTTTACAGCATCTCAGGAATAGGTATGTGGATCGGTGTGTGTCTTTGGGGTGCCTGTCCTGCTCTTTCCTGCCAGGTGCTACTATCTGGGAACACAGACAATGCAGGGTGCTTGTCCCTCTCTTCTCTACCAGGTGCTCCTACCAGGAGCAGGACAAGCACCCTGCTCCTCCACAGAAGTGCCTCGAACCTGCTCCCTGGTAGGAGCGTCTGGTGGAGCAGAGCAGGTCAAACACCTGTATGGAGCCTTTTTGTAGTATCTGCATATGCACCAATATTCCTCAAATGAATCATAGGTATCTGCGAATTTGCAGGACTCGAACGAGAGGAGTGCTCTTTTGCTTGCAGGGTTATTTTTTTATGCAGACAGGAGAACTCTCTCCCATGAGCATAGAGTGTCTTCACTACATGTGCTGCTGCATTCATACAGCTGTGCTGTATACATAGACATGGCTTTAAGAACAGCAGACAATATTGTTCTTTATTTCCTAGAGTCTTATTGTCTCAGCTGGGCTGGTGGACTAAACCCACTTTCCCCAAGAGACTAGCTAGTCTTTCTAATTCAGGATATTAACAGCAGATTAGCATAAATGGAAACAGAGCTTCTCAGTGAGAAATGGGACAGGACATAGCTCACGGATAAAGTGTGTCCAAAACCCTATCCTCTCCCTTTGCCTGCAAGGAAAGGGCATAACTGACTGATCAGAGGTAGCAAACTTAAAACAAGCGATTGTTGTTAGCCATCACTTCAGATACTTGTACAAGCAAATAGTATAGCTGAGTATTTAATGAAAACTATAAGTTACATGCAAGTTAAGTGCAGTCCTCCAACTGCTAAACAAAGTGCTAATGTGATGCTCAGAGCCTTGGATCCGCAGAAATACATATGTTAATCTGGGCAACACATTAATTTAGACAAATTATTGATTAGTCTGGGCTAAACTCTGTGGTGGCAGAAAACCTAGGATCCCAAAATGCAGTGTGCCATGATGTACAGTTCAAGAAGGTCAAATGAGAAAAGCCCATTTTACATGCACTAGCTGCAGAGGTTTCAGATTAAGTCTCCTATTTGCCCACACAGCGCAGTTAAAGTATAATGTAAAATGCCAGAAGTAAAGTTTAGCATATTTCTACATACTTTTCCTCAATGTCCGAGTTCAAAGGATCGAGAGAATCCAGACAGTAGCCTGTCAAAGACAAAAAAGGTTTTTACTATTGAAAATATAAAATACAGGGAACTATTAGCAAGAAATCTTAGATCTTCTTCCCCAGGACAACTTTTTGCTATGGGGTGGGGGGGCGAGAGAGAGAGAGAGAGAGAGAGAGTTGAAAGAAAGAGTTAGATCAAGTCCATAACTCATCCCCCACTAGAAGTTCTGGGGTGGAGGTGTGGGAAGAGACAGCTTTGAGTGTCACTACCTATTACTTCGGACCACAGGTATTGGTTTGATACTTTTGGGGCGAGTGAGAAAAAGAAGAATAAAAAGATTCCACCATACTACCCTATATGAGAAACTGTCACATAGGATAGCAACATATTGCTTTAGAAACATAGCCTAAATAATATTTTGGCTTATTTTTCCATACAGACTAATTACCATTTCTTTGCAGGTTAGCCCTGCCAGCTGATTGCTTTCTACATGCAAGATTTTAGCTATGCTCTTATCTCTCTTCCCCAATAGATAATATTGGAACATTTCACATAGTCATCTACCAAAAAAAAAGCTTTCTTAAGACAAATAAGTATCCAGATAGTAAGATAATTAGTAACTTATTGATATACCAGAATCAGATGATGCATTAAAGCAATACAGCTGTTTCTGCTAGGTTTAAGGTTATGAAGAATTTCACAGGCTAGTGTTTTAAAGAACTACTTTGACAAAATAGGTGGAAGCATGCTACATCTCCATGTCTTGCTGCCTTATCCTACTATTACCTCACTCCATATCATCTGGTGTCTATTCACTTTGTGTCAGACTATGGTGCTTTCATCTGTAGTCTAGAATGCCATTCAGTGTCATGGCACTACAAGAGACAAGATACATGTAGAAAGAAGGGGATTTTCCTATACTGGGTTGCTTCAAAGGAGTACATGAAACCCATAAGATTATAAAAAAAATTAGCTAACCATAACTCATTTTGTTATTCCAAAGAGTGTAGGTTTTCAAACCCATATCCGTTTAAATAAAATTTTATATATATTTTTCTCTCTCTCTCACACACACACACACAGATGTAGTGCCTCCCATCCCAAAATACTTCAAGTTCTAGACATAGCTGTATTTCAATGGTCCTATATATTTCTGGGGTGCCATGACAGTAGTCAGTTGGATAACCAACACCACAAAGTATGCCATCAGTGGATGTAAAACATGGTGACTTTGCTTAGACCCTCTTCATATAGGGAAGTTAGCAACTAGTCAACTGGAGTATTGACTACTTGCTTTCCTCCCCCCCTTCCTGCCACCGGCATCAGCCCCTGTCCTCAGTGGACAGGGGCTGCTAGACCGAACAGTTCTGATTTGCACTGGTCCGGGACACTGCACCTCTGCATTTTAAATGTAATAAAAGACCAGCAGCTCTTACTACATTTAACATGCAGAGCTGCAGTGTGGGTGGCTCCCAGAGCCAGCATGAGCTGGGACTGCTCAATCCCAGCACGAGCTGGCTCCTGGAGCTACCCCCACTGCAGCTCTGGAAGGCAGTCCTTATCAACTAATTCTGTAGTTGATACAATTTGTATCGACACACAATTAGCCAAATACAGATGTTAAATTGCAGTTATCTTAATACCTCATGAACTCTAGTGACCACATACAGCACACAATCATGGTTTAAGATCATAATCCAAAAGACTAACATAAAAGTTGCATTCATGCAGTTTATCTACCTCAGTAAAATAAAAAGCACGGTCAGTTCTGTCAAGAATTCATTTTGTTATTCCAAAGAGTCTATGTTTTCAAACTCATTCCTTATGTCGAGTGTCAGCAACCACAAATTAACATGGGAGACCTATGTTTACCAATGGTTTACAGAGAAGGAGAAAACACTACAGCTTGAACCTCTCTAGTCTGGCACCCTTGGGAACCGACTGGCACCGAACCAGAGAATATGCTAAACCACAGGAAGTCAATATGATCTAGCAGCATCAGCAACACTTCTAGGAGTCCAATAAGCAGCAGAAGACATTTTGGGGTAAATAAGAGCTAAATAACAGCACAGAACATTGAGAGCCCAGAAATGGTGGCTGTAAAACTTTATGCCTATGTCTACCCTGGTGCGATTTTGCGCCAGAGATATGCAAATGAGGCTCAGCAATATTCCACACAGCCTCATTTGCATATTGCTGGCACAAGATCGTGCCAGTGTAGACATAGTCTGTGGGTCCACATGAGACTTGGCCACACCAATGATAAGTGGACATCTGGCTAATTAAAATCATGCTGGAACACAGATATTGCTGGAGAAGAGAGGTTTAACCTGTAGTGAACTGGAACCAGAATTAATTTTTCACATTGGTTCTGTCACTTACTAAATGATGCCAGACAAACTCACTTAACCTCTTTACTTAAGTGTCTACATTTTCTTTTTTATAAAATGGAGGGCTGCTAGAATAAATTGTTGTTGCAGTGAATTATGCAAGCACACAGCATTAGCTTCCTCTTGCATCTGAAAATTGCTCTTTATAATACAGGATAAGAGCATGTCAAGCTTTTTCATTCCTTCGTACTTATGCATAGATTAAAAAGTAACCTGAATCAGTAGATTCCGACGAGTCTGTTCTTTGTAGATTGCTACTGTTCCTCATTTCCAGCATTAGCAGAGAGTTTTCATGCTGACTATAAAGATTAAAAACAGAGTTATTTTACTCAATGTTTCAGCCAGAAAGTGTCACAATAGGTTTAAAATGTAGAAACACTGTAGATGAGCTCCATTCGGAACAGAATTGATCAGTTTAAGTAGTGGACAATGCAAAAACGTGCCAGTTTAACAGTCCTGCAAATTGAAATTTTGAGTACCCATAACGAACACAGCACACATAGCTGTCTCCGGACAAGGTCATGGGGACTCATGCATAAGGTATGTGGCAGCAACTAGGAATAATATTGAGATCATATGTGGCACCATGCGGGCTGTGTTGAAAGGGTGCACTAAACAGACCAGTACCAGGGAGCCATGAGGTTGCAGGAATGAGCTCAGGGGAACTATATATAGTGGAAGTAAAGGTTATATAGGTGGAGTAACGGGCTGGAGAAAAACAACAAAGGGGCCAAGGTGGTTACATGGGTGAGGTTATGGGGGGCCATATGTTGTAGAGCTGGACAGACCAGGATTCACAGGAGCTGCAGAGATTAGGAATGCAGGGGGAAGAGTCATGAGAGCCATCCGAAGGAGAAGTGCAGGCCCAAGAAGTCTGGAAGGCTGCAGGACTGGAGCCCAGAGAGCCAGATACAGAGGAAGGGGACAGGCGCCAAGGAACTAGGGAGCCTAGTACCAGAAAGGTTATAGGGGTGGAGTGATGGGGGCCCCACGGAGGCAATTACAAGGAGGCTGCGGGGTGAAGTCTGGGCAAGCCGGCGTGAAGCCGCTGTAGGGGCGAGGCGCTGGGGGC